AATTACCACTTTAAGCAGCACATTAAATTATTATTTTATCATCTAAACACTGTTAAATGTAAAATCTACAACAAGTCATTACTTTTGTGCATTTTAATGCGTTCATTTGTCAATATGTTGACTTTCCATATGTTGTGATTTTAAGGCTCTGAGTTAAAGCAGCATTTAGTGGCAGAGTTTGTTCACAGTTTAGCCTGAAGAGGAATTTCCTGAAGGCACTGCCTGACCAGCTCCAGCGCATCCATGCTGGTCCCCCAGGAAAACGACACCCCCCAGCCTCCGTGGCCGTAGTTGTGGACTACAGGCACCTGGCGACCTCCCATCTGCACCAGCTCCCTCTCCACCCTCGGGCTCCTCCTGCCCGGCCTCAGACCGACCGACTGGTAGAGAACTTTGGCTTTCCTGAGCGACGGCTCCAGCCTGCTGCAGCGCTCCAGGATGCTTCTCGAGTCTCCTTCGTCCACATGCAGCCGCATGTCTTCCACCTGCCTCGTCCCGCCTATGGTGACGCTGTGGATGCCGGGGTAGATGTAGGTCATCCCATCTACGTCCCTGATGAAGTGCTTCAGCCAGGGGGCATCCATTTTTAAGACCTGGCCTCTGATTGGCTGAACTTGGTCGTCACCCACCAGTGTTTTGGAGCCCAGACCAGTGCAGTTGACAATGATGTCAAAGTCGTTGCTCAATTCCTGGAGACTGTTGACTCTCCTCTGCTCCACTCGGCCTCCAGCTTTCCTGAACCTTAAGAAAACCGGTATGACAAGAGTTCATGTTGTTGACAATCAATTACCTGGAAATGTTAAGAGATTATTTGTAATTCAAAACTTTAAAGAACCATTATAACGTTTTGACATAACAAAGAGACTTCAATGTACAGTGTCTGTAAGAAGTATTCACCGCTCTTTAGGATTCATAGGTGCCTTGGTGGCCTTCCTTCACTCGTCTCTTTGTTGCACAGTCAAGGGTTTTTGAGGATGGCCTGCTCTGGAGGAGCTACACATGTGCCATATTCCTTCAATTTGTTAATGGTAGATTTAACTGTACTCCAAGGAATGTTCAGTGACTGGACCTTCCAGATACAGGTGTCTGTATACTACAGTCACTACATGAGCTCCGGTTCACTAATTGTGTAACTTCTAGCACACATTTCCTGCACATGTGTTGAATTTGGTGAGTCATTTTAAAGAGGGTGAAAACTTTGATATTTTAGTTTCATTTGTCATTAATTTGTAGAAATCTGTTTTCACTTTGACATGAAATATATTTTTTTGTAAATTCTTGTCAAAAAAAGACAAATTATATTGACCATGATTAAGAAAAAGGGGAAAACTTCCAAAGGGTGATGAATACTTTCTATAGGCACTGTGGAGGACAAACCTCTTCTCGAGCCACGGCAGGTAGCTGGAGCATTCACATTTTAAAGTAGTGAACGCCTGGCCAAACTTGTGATTTGGAAAACGTTTCAGTTCACGATCGGTCATGGGTCGATAGCCAATCACAATGTCTGACCAGTAGGGCTTCATATTAGCTGGAGCTTCTCTGAAAATCTGACATCTGGAGGAAAATCAAAAAGAAACAGTTCAATAGTGAGTCTGGTTGTCTTTTTTTTTTTTAAATATATATATCGCTTTATAGAACTATTGTTACCCAGAACACATCATTATTCCAGCCTCTGGTGCGTCCTCAGAGTGAGCGATGGCAAAGAAGTGATCAAAGCCGTCCTTGAACCAGCGTCTTTGCCTTTCCAGGGGGATATCTGATAAAGAGATACAGGAAAATCAGTCATTTCAAGCATGCAAAGGAAATGTGTGGTGCATCTTTTCATAGATTGTGTGATGTATTTATATGCACTGCAACTTTTACCTTGTTAAAGCTGCAAAATAATGTGAAATCTAGTACAACTTTAATGTAATTCATTTTCTGAGAGAGATGTTGTTTTGTACCTGGAAATTCTTGAGCGAGCACGATTCCAGCAGCCACATCGCTGGTGGTGTCCGGGCTGAACTTCTCTGCCAGCAGAGTCACGGAGCAGATGGGAAGAGCCTCGGCAATGCGGACAGCAGTGGAGAATCCGATCACACCAGCTCCCACCACCGCAACCCTGACAGTTTTCATCCTGCTTTTCAAACCAGAGGTAAACTGGAGGTGAAGAACTGAGTCAAATGCTGCTCGACTGCTGAAAGATAAGCTGTGTTATGACTGTACCTGAAAGTTAATCCACATCTAGGAGCCTTAGATGACATCTACTGGGTGCAAAGTCCAAGGACCAACCATGAGCTCTTAGAGCACTTGTCTTTGCAATCATACATAATATAACAGTCACTGAATACTAGGTCACACACAGCCGGAAGAAGCAAACAATCGGTGTCACAACAAAGTCAAGCATTTACAGTGTAGTTAGTCATTGTGTCTTATACACACAAGAGCACGCAGCTGCATTTGTGACACACTTGCATTGCATTACAAACCAGCAGCAGTCTTCTATCCTAAGGTCTACAAAAAAATTGCAAAAGTCTAAATTATGCAGCAGAATAGCCCTTCAATTACATATTATATTAATAAATTCTTCTTCTGAATACATTAACATGTAAGGGTGCAGTGGATGACATTTACCTACTGTACCAACCCATCATATTTTAGAAATGAATAAGCTGTAAATTGCATTTAATCCACAC